ACCACATAATAGACTTCACTATCCTCAGAGCACTAAACTCTCTCTTCTCAATGCTCCACCAGATGATCAGAAACATAGTCTCCTACAACCAGTCTCACCCAGACTTACCCATGCTCTCATATCAGATCAAGGCCTACGTTCCACGCTACCTCATATTCTGTTTGATCTGGTGCTTCTCTGGAGATGGGAAGATGGTCTATCGCGAGAAAATGGGCGACTTTATACGAGGGACGACCACCATACCACTACCACCTGACACTGCCCCCATCATTGATTTTGAAGTGAACATTCAAGGAGAATGGGTACCGTGGTCTAACTGGTAATTTAACAAATCAGCATTTATATTTAATGACCTGATTTCTAATTAATGCCCCTTTTCTATTTAATGCCCCTCCTTAGAGTACCCAAGATTGAGGTTGAGACTCATAAAGTAAGGTCTCCTGATGTTGTGGTACCCACTCTTGATACAGTGAGACACGAGAGTCTCCTCTATACATGGTTGGGGGAGCATAAGCCGATGGTACTGTGTGGTCCACCTGGCTCTGGTAAAACCATGACACTGTTCTCTGCTTTTCATGCACTGCCTGATTTTGAAGTGAGTTTGGATGTGAATATACATGTACATGTACAATATGTATATGTACGTAGATCATGTATACACGTACATGTATTTATGAATTACAGTACATGTACTACATTGTAGATGTATGAGATTTTATGCTGGCATATTTCTATGTGAAAATGTCTTTGTTATCTTCTTTGTTTTTTCTGTTGGACTCTCATCTTTCCCCTTTCTATTAATTTTTTCTCCAGGTTGTTGGTCTTAATGTCTCATCAGCCACTACCCCTGAGCTATTATTAAAGAGGTTTGATCATTACTGTGAGTACAAGAGGACTCCCAATGGAGTTGTGATGGCTCCTTCTCAACTCGGAAAGTGGCTGTTTCTCTTCTGTGACGAGATTAACCTTCCAGACCTTGACAAATATGGTAAGGAGTATTGATTTTACAATAAAATTAGTGAATATAAAGTTATAACAAGCTTATGTGAATCCATTCAATCCAAATACACTTTAGAGAGATATCTTTCTCTTTTTTAATGTTTCATTAAAAATTCTTTTTTCTAATTAAAGGTACTCAGAGAGTAATATCGTTCTTACGTCAGATTGTCGAGGACGGTGGATTTTACAGAACCTCCGATCACACGTGGGTGACAATAGAGAGGATACAGTTTGTAGGAGCGTGTAACCCACCAACTGACTGGGGAAGGAAACCACTGTCTCACAGGTACAGTATGCTGTAGTGGGCATTGAATACTGTATTATTTGGGAGGGATACATTTTTGTATTGCAGTATACCATATAGCACTTTAATTGGGCGTTTTATTTTGGCAATTGGGAGTCTGCAAGTGGAATCGTCAATGTTAAAACCGCCAATCATTAATGAGTACAGTGTATGCTCAGTAATGCACGTGTACACAAAA